AAGTTTGGCATTGAATGCCTTCGTCTTGTCGGATTGAAGGTGTTCCTTTTTCCACACTGTTTCTCCGAGTTGTGGGCGCCATGCTCTCCTCCGTAAATTGTAATGAGATTCCTGTCGTTGAAATGCTTGTGCGAGATGCATTTTTCACGAGCTCGTGTGTTTCAGTTAGTACCTTCGCCACGGTGAGGGTGGCGGAACGGGAGGTTTGTCCCTTCGGTCTTCTTGGTGTGGTCGGGCCAGTTCGCGTCCGTGATTCAGGAACGCTGGGCTGAATCGGGTAGCGTCATGTTGGGCGGTATTAAATGCGAATCGGAGGGCGCCCAAGTGTTCGTCCCAGCGGCGATGCTTTTTATCGATATATTGGGCGATCATTGTTTTGATAGTGCGATTGGTACGCTCCACGGGATTGCACTGTGGTGTGTAGATAGGTGTGGTGCGGTGGCGGATGCCAAAATTTTGCACATCTCCTGGAATTCCTTGGCACTAAACTGTGGGCCGTTGTCGGAGATAATGGTGTCCGGGCATCCGTGTCGATAAATAATGATGTCGATGATGTGGGTCACGATTACTGGGGCCGTTGCCACTCGAAGTGCTTTGACTTCCAGCCATTTGGTGAAGCGGTCCTGCATGGTAAGTAACCACGTGTGTCCTTGACGAGAACGTGGCAAGGGTCCCACCAAGTCGATGGCCACCTGCTCCCAGGGGTGCTTCACTGCTGTGGCGTGGAGTAGGCCGGGTGGTTTCTGTTGTCCGGCTTTGTGTGCTAAACAGGTGGGGCACTTTCGGACATACTGGGCGATATCGCGGGCCATGCCGGGCCAGTAGTAGTGTTCGCCGATGCGTATGATGGTTTTGGCGATGCCGAGATGTCCGGCCGCGGGATCGTCGTGCATTCGTTTGAGCGTTAATGTTCTTTCGGTTGTCGGTAGGCATCTCTTCCATTGTGCGGCGGTTGGCACTTCCCGGAAGTCGAGATTATGTAGAAAATGTCGGAAACACGTGGCCGTCTCGCAGGTCGTAATCGGGATGTGCGTCTGGGTGTGCGGTGACCTGGGCCTTGAGGTTCTCGTACCAGGAACAGGTCGGATGGCTGGTGATAACGGCCACTTCAGGTTCTCGGGACAGGGCATCGGCTACCTGGTTACTGGATCCGCGTCGGTAGCGGATCTCGAAGTCGTATTGTTGGAGTTCGAACTTCCAACGTCCGAGTCGGCCGGTCGGTGATTCAATTTTCTGCAGCCACTTCAGCGACTGGTGGTCGGTGAGGACGGTGAATGTGTACCCTTCGAGGTATTCGCGCATCTTGCGGATGCCCCAGACCACGGCCAGGCACTCCAGTTCGGTGGCGCTATAATTCTTTTCGGCATTGTTCAGGGTTCGACTGGCGTAGGCGACGACTTTTTCTCCCTCTTCAGTCTCCTGGGTCAGTACGGCTCCCAGGCCGGACTGGCTGGCGTCGGTTTGGAGAGTGAATCGTTGCGCAAAATCTGGACAGGTCAGCACTGGTGCGGTAATGAGAGCGTCTTTTAGTCGTTGGAAGGCGTCGGCCTCCTCGTCGTGCCACCTCCATCGTTCTTTCTTCTTGGTCAGCCGCGTGAGTGGGGCTGCGAGCCGGGAGAAATTCGGTACGAAGCGGCGGTACCACGATGCTAGGCCTAGGAATTGTCGCACTTTCTTCACGTTGGTGGGTGTGGGCCATGCGGCAATAGCGCTGGTCTTCCCAGGGTCGGTGTGGATGCCTTCCTTGTTGATCAGATGACCGAGGTATTTTATCTGGGCGCAACAAAACTGGCATTTGTCGACGTTGAGTCGCAGCCGGGCTCCCGAAGGCGACGAAACACTTCACGTAAATGAGTGAGATGCTCCTGGAAGGTGTTACTCAGCACGATGATGTCATCGAGGTACACCAACACGTTTGGTTCGAGGTCCGGGCCGAGGACAGTGTTGACCAATCGCTGGAAGGTGGCGGGGGCAGAGTGTAGTCCGAATGGCAATACCCGGAACTGCATGAGTCCGCGCCCGGGTACCGTAAAAGCTGTGATTCCCTTGCTGTTCGGAGTGAGCGGTACTTGCCAGTACCCGTTCTTTAAGTCTAAGGTGGATAGGTATTTGGCCCCTCGCAGTTTATCCAGGGTAGCTGTGATTTGTGGCAACGGGTATGCATCTCTTTCGGTGACTTCGTTGACTTTCCGAAAGTCAATGCAAAATCGATAACCGCCGTCCTTCTTCCTTACGAGTACCACCGGGGAGCTCCAGGCACTGCTGGACGGTTCAATCACCCCGTCCTCCTCCATCTGTTGCACTTCCTCGTCAATGATGCGTTGCATCGCCGGATTCCGGGGTCGGTATCGCTGCTTGATCGGCGCGATCCCCTGGCGTAACCGAATTTCGTGCTGGATAGCGGAGGTAGGTCCGGAGACGGTGTTGAGTTTTCCTAGTTCCGACCGCAGAAAAACTTGTAGTTGCTCGTCGTCTGTTGTGGCGATTGGTTGTCTGAACGCCTCGACTACTCCAACTGTACGGGTATGGTCGGTGGTAGGGAGGGGCGGGGGTTGTAGAGTTAGTCCGAGGCGGGACCACAAATCCATGCCGATAATAATTGGCGTGGTCAATTTCTCCATGACCGTAAAACGGTGATGGAACTGTTGCGTTCCTACCCAAAATATTAGATGGGTGGACCCGCAGGTGGCAACCCGGGTGCCGTTGGCTAAGGTTACCCATGAGCTGGGTCCGAGGGGTTGATCCTCGGGCCTCAAACTTTCGGCGCTTACCAGGGAGGTTTCTGCTCCAGAGTCAATTAGTGCCCTAAAAGGGCGATTTTGGTAGCGCACGGTTATACTGGGGCGCGGCGTGTATGTTATGCGTGGGACCGGGGAGTGTCCGCTCCGTCCTCGGTCACGCCCGCGTTTCCCGGTGGCGGATGGCACTGTTTTGTGAGCACCCCCTCTTTTCCGCATCGCGAGCAGAACTTAATGGCGGGTTGATCGCATTCCTGTCGCTGGTGTCCGGGCTGTTTGCACCGCCAGCAACATGCCTCGCGATCGTATGCCATAGTGGCTACGGTGGGTCCGCTTAACCGTGGGGGTTTCCCCTGGACGCGTTGCTGTCGGGTCAGTTCCTCGTATTTGCGGGCTAGCCGGCCGAGGTCCTTGATATCCCGTGCCTCATAGGCTCCGAGGAACATTTTATAGCCTGGGTCTAGATTATCGTATAGACGGCCCAGCGTATTATTTATTTCGTCGTCGTCGCCACTGCGTCGGATCAAGGTGAGTAGTGCATTTTCATACTCTCTATATGATTCGTGGGGCCGTTGTCGACGCTCGACGATTTGGCGTCGCATTTCCTCGCGGTATCGAGGCGGTAGATAATGCTCGCGGAAAGCAGCGCAGAAATCGTCCCAGTTGTGCCAGCCAGGACGGTGGTTCCGATACCAGAGTAGCGGTTCTCCCCGCAGCATCTCTGGAATTCCCCAAAACAGCTGTCTGGTGGTAAGCCCATAGCAGACACGGAGCTCATCAATCCGTTCTAAAAAGTTAAGCGGGTCCTTCCCTGTAAACTTGCAATCCCACTTATGGATTTCATGGATTGCCTCTGCGTCGGTGGGGGCTTTGTCCGCCGGATCCCATCCTGGTATTTGTTCGTCCTCCGTGCTGGCGGCACTGGGTATATGAAGGGGGCTAAGCACCCGTCGGTCGGTAGGTCGGGTGAGGAATAATCCGGGGTTCTCGGTCACGAAACGGCGGAGGCGTCGTCGGAGGTCATCGATAGTGCCGCTCGTGTCCAGTCCATACTGACCGAGTCGGTGACCAATTTCCGCCTTATTGAGCTCTTGTATCCAGGCTCTTGGGGCGGTACTCATCTTGAGTTTCGTTGGTTCCCTTGTCTCCACTTATCGTGCAACACACACCTTCCCTTTAACTGCCGGATCCTGGCAGGATCGCCATGTAACGGTCGTGCCTCCAGGCTCGGTTGTTTCGGGTAGATCCGGCCCTGTGGCTTGGATCGCGGTTTGCGAGCCGACCACAGGAAAGATTTTCAGGTGAAGGTGTGTGTGGTGTGTGTATGTGTCAATAAAGGAAGACAAAATAAGTATAACACAATAAGTCTTTATTTGGTCGCACGCTACGACCGCGTGTTGCGGCGCGACGTCCCAATGTTTGGGTGTTAGAGGAGTGCGTGAATCGTTTCCGCGGACACTACGAGCCCCGCGGGGTCACCGTGGTTGGTGAGCGATTTGCTTGGAGCTTACTTTCGGTAATTAGTTCAGCCGGCGCTTGACCCGCCATGAGGGTCGAGCCGCTGACTTAGTGACCGCGCGATGTGTATTCCGGTGTGGTTTAAAGCGCTAGTTTGCGGGATTCGGCACGCGACTTGACGACGGGTTGAAAAAAACGGCGCAAGAACGCGTCGCGACACGTCGCGCTCGCTTTTGTCCTCGGCCGCGGCGTTGGTCGCCCCGGGGGTCGAGGGGTACGGGCGATGGGAGGATTCCGGGTGTGCTGGACCGACGCGTCAACTCCCAGCTGATCAGCTCTGGCCTTCCTGGCGTCTTACGAATTTCGGCAGAAGCTTCTCGGTTGATCCTCTCTTGGAAAGAACTAGTCGTGGAGACGGAACTCTGGAGACTCTCTTCTTGTCAAAATCTGCCGGGGTTATATACCCGAGATTTTGGGGCTTCGGTTTTCTTCGCCCTTAATCGGAGTTAATTCCTTTTTAATCGGAATTAATCGTGATTATGCGGCGTTTGCCGAATAACTTCGGCGGGGCCGCTCGCTCGGTTCGGCGGCCGATCGTGCCCGAGCGTCGTTGCCGGGTATTCGGGCATCTTCGGCCGAGCGCGATGTTTCGGCGCGGTGTCAGCGCGGGTCGGGGGGTGTGCGCTCAGCTGACTGTCGCGTGCTACTAGGCGGCAGTCAGCGTAACGGCACAAAAATCTTTGTGTCGTTACATATTCTAATTAAAGCCTTCAGTTTCATGCAAAAATAATGGATTTCTTTTTACTACACCTGATATATATCAGAGTTCCGGAAAATTCGGTAGTCTCCTACCGATCCTGGATAACTTGCAAAACAATCTACAAAATGCAAATCTGCATCGCAAATTGCTTGCAGAACTATAGCATATTGTAGCTTTCTGCTTTTGTAATGAATAGCAAATTCCTGTTAAAAAAAACCAAACTATTAAATGTAGTCTTTTAATCAAATAGAAAAGGATTTAAAGCTATGAAGAAAGAGGAAAGAAAAGAAAGAGGGAGAGAGAGAGAGAGATACCTCAATGTTAGGTTTCTTTATAAATATAAAACACCCATCGATTGCTCCTACTATACCAGGCATAGGAGTTTGCCCGAGATTCATAAATTTTTCTTTTGTTATTTCTAATTTTTCACCTGTAGGCCATTTAATAACTTCCTTTGCTATAATATTTAATGCTTTCACAACTCGGCACACACAGTCATGTAAGGAAGATTTGAAGTTAAATTTTTCACTTATAGATCTACAACAAAAAGTTTATAATTATTATAGATAGATACTCTTTATACTTAATTTTATATATATTTTATATATATTTTATTTAGAAATTTAATACATACCTGAACGAATCTGGTGTAGCAAGAAACCAAATCGTTGACAACAGTTGTACGCGTACAGGTATCACAGGCCGTCCACAACTTTCCTCATTAGTCAATAATTGCCCTAAACGATTTTCTACGGCTTCAAAACCTTCTGGCATCATTCGGAAATGATGCCGAAACTGATGTGTCGTATAACGAGGTATAATATCTTCGATATAACCTGCTATACGGACAGGTTTTTTTCGTTTCCCTCGGATTCGACAAATATCTTCTATTAATAAATTTTTTACTACATTATTTTCAGTTTCACAATTTTCAATTTCACTGATAGCCGTTATTAATATTTCTAATAATCTTTGACTGTTTATTGTCACATATAATAACAAATGGTCTTGACGAACTCTATTGGTTTGTTCTTTTCAGCTGCACTGCGGAACTAGTGCAATAAGTTAGAATGAGACAACTATATTTTTTCTCACATCAACTTATTGCACCAGTTCAGTAGTGCAGCTGAAAAGAACAGACCATATGTATCGCCATTGTTATTGACTTAACTTTATGCGTTCGAAAAGTTGTTTAACTCGGTGTTACTCGAATTGAGTTGTTAGTGTAACCTCAACTAACTCTACTCTACCCAGAGAGTTGGATTTTCGAACGCAGCCCTGGGGAGCTGTTGTTTGGGGGAGTGGAGGAAATAACTTAATCATGGACGTAAGAATATATGGACAGAGTATAAAGTGCTTTTATAGGCGCAGGGTATTGGCCATGAAGAGTGAAGGGAATCTATCGTTGGTCATCTTGGTCTCTCATATTTAGGGTCTACTGTCACATCGTGAGACGTCATTATTCTCCGTCAACCGAGACTATATGATTGTAGTGAAAAGTGACAAGTAAAGCATTCTATCAATTTAGGCTCTCTGTGGCAATGAAACAAATTGAGATTGCCCTTTAATTAATATTAAGAATCACGGGGGATTGACACTTCCCTCAAGTGACGTAATTGCTATTTGTAAGATTGCGGAAACTGTTATCCATTTTTCTTTATGCGAAAGTGGCGGTAAGTATTTATTAAAATACATGACTAAAGCGTATTCCTTTTACATAAGGTTTTGAATCATATTATTGAAAAGAATAATATATTTCACAGTTTGCAAGAGCATTCTTGCGATCAAACTCCATTACAAAATCACGTAATTCATCTAATAAAAGCGGTTGCTTCTAAATATATACAAATTAGATTGTACTTTATAGGACGCAATATAACTGATAAGGAAAATAATGTACGTATTAGGCAACACTTTAACAAAATTATATTATTTAACGGACAATAAGACTGATATATATACAGAGTGTTTGATAGCTGATCATGCAGACGAAAGTTGGAGATAGATTGAGTGTAGCCGAGAAGAAAAGTCATGTACCATAATGTCAAATTGGCAATAGTTATCGTGTTATTAATTAAAACATGTGAGCCAACGAGCGCGTAGAGAGCGAAGGGCGACCGCAGTAAGCACATAGACATTTGATACAGGCGGAGTCAGTGAGTGTCGGTAGGCGAGCGCGCGCGGCGAGGGGCAACGTAAGCGACAAGAGGCGATCGCGTGCGACGAGAAGCGAGCGAGCTTTTCCTTTATAGCTTCTTCCTTATAGCTCGCTCGCTCCTCGTCGTTCGCGCTCGCTCGCTCTTCGTCGCGCTCGCTCGCTCCTCGTCGCGCGCGTTCGCCTCTTGTTGTTTACGTTGCCTCTCGCCGCGCGCGCTCGCCTACCGCCACTTGCTGACTCCGCCTGTATCAAATGCCTATGTGCCTACTGTGGTCACCCTCCGCTCTCTACGCGCTCGTTGGCTCACATGTTGTAATTAATAACTCGATAAATATTGGCAATTTGACATTATGATACATGACTTTTCTTCTCAGCTACACCCAATCTATCTTCAACTTTCGTCTGCATGATCAGCTATCAAACACCCTGTATATATATATATATATATATATATAAGGGTGTCCCATTTTAATCCGGCCGGCTGAATAAAATTCGAAGATATTTTCCAGAAAAAAATGTCAGACAAATGTTGCTCAGTTCTAAGTGGGACATTCGATGCCATCAACAATTTTGACCTCAGGTGAAGGGTTCAAGGTCATTCAAGGTCAACTTTTTTTTCTTAAATGGGAACCCCTATTTTTCACATCGGCAATCGATTCAACGTAAAAAAAATGAAACTTTTGTCTGAAGCATTTTTTTATAAAGCAAACTAATTTCACTTATTCAGCCTCCAAAATTGAAATTTTCAAACTTTCTGAATTTTTTACTCGAGAATGGTGGGGTTTGGGGGGAAATTGCAGAAGACAAAAAGTTCTTGGAATGCTGCAAGGAATTCACTCGAATTTTCGCATAGTTGGTCGTGCACTTTTTTCAAGGTACCTCCTGACAAGTAGAACATTTGCGGAATATCTGCGTATTCTTCTGCCGTAAATTTCATTCGATTTGGGATTTATTTTTTTATTTATCGACCCTTCCATTTATCGACAAATCTCCTTATCAATTGAGATGCTATTATGTGAGAGCAGCACGGGCAAGGTCTCCGATTTTCAACAATTTCTTTCATTCCTTACATGTTTCGTTCTTCACACGTTTTTGCTTGTATGTCATCATACGTGTCTTCTTATACGTGTTTCGTACGTGCTTCTTGCTCGTTGCTCATTCATTAATAATGAAATTTACGGTGGAAGAATACGCAGATATGATTATCTGCTACGGAATGGCCGCGGAAAATGCATGCGTTGCGGCGCGTACGTACGCGGAGCGATTTCCAAATCGTGAGCGGCATCCGTGTGTACAAACAATAACAGATTGTATCCGAAGATTGAAAGAAACGGGTTCCGTCTTAACGGATCATCGGAATCATGGTGGTGCACCAGTTCAACGTAGTGTGGAAGATAATGAGGACGTGCTCCTGGAATTTTATGAAAATCCTGGAAGTAGCGTGCGCTGTGTAGCCCATGACCTTGGTCTATCGCGAACGATGATGCATCGCATTTTGCAAGAAAGTGGGTTGCACCCATATCATTATCGACGAGTGCAACATCCTTTGCCAAGGGACAAAAGACAGCGCGTCGAATTCTGCGAAGGTATTTTCATAATCTTTTTTTATATTTACAACACTTTTGTCACACATAATAATTTTGAACAAAACATGCACAGGATTCCTCGCACAATGTCGGCGAAGTATAACGTTTCCCGATTATATCATGTGGACAGACGAGGCTACTTTCACACCGAACGGTGTGTTCAATTCTCGAAATTCTCTACTTTGGCAAGAGGAAAATCCGCACGCTATTCGGCAGTGCACATTCCAATATCGATGGTACATCAATGTATGGGCAGGAATAATTGGAAATCAAGTAGTAATGGAAAATAAGTGGTCTTCTCAAGTAAAACATCTTTTCTCCCGCTGGTCTCTTAAACTTTTCTCCTAAAATTACCATTGTTCATTTCCAGATAGGCCCATTCTTCTTTCCGCCGCGTCTCAACGGTCAGACGCAGACGTACGCAGTATTTATTGAACAGAAGTTACCTGTTCTCCTGAAAAACATTCCTCTACATGTTCGAGAGAGAATGATCTTCCAACATGACGGAGCTCCCGCGCACTTCTGCCGCGAAACACGCGAATTTTTGGACCAACGTTTCCCGGACAGGTGGATGGGTCGAGGTGGCCCCGTTATTTGGCCGGCACGATCGCCAGATTTGAATGTGCTCGATTACTTTGTTTGGGGCCATATTAAATCTAAAATCGAGCATAGGCGTGATGGTACCAGAGATGAGGTACGTGATGCAATTATAGCAGCCTTTCGTACCATCACGCCGGACATGGCGCATCGTGCGACGCGACAAATAACTCGAAGAGCCGAACTCTGTTTGCAAGCAGAAGGAGGGCACTTCGAACAATTATTGAATTAAATAATGAGAGTGGATTAGGCCTACTGAGGAAACACTTAAAAATAAAACGCGCCAAGCTATCTACCTCACAAGGTGGTGTGGAAATGATAGTTTTTGTACTACCCTGAAATAAAATAAATAAATTAATTGCCCTTTCGGAAGTTTATTATTTATCGCATCGGATTTTCTTGTCGGTTCGTGTCATTTCTTACTTTAGGAATTGTGAATTAACGATTGATTCTTTATGTTCTCCTTCGGTAAGTATCTTATTAAAAAATTAGGGAGATGCGTGAAATATTTAACTATAAAATGTTTTTTTGCACGATTCAACGACAAGAAACGTGTAAGAAAGTTTCAATCAATCATACATTTATGCGTGTCAAAATAACACACGGATTTGCGTTGTATCGCGATTATACCTAGGAATCAAATTTATGCCGAGTATCGTTGGTGCACCATTGACAACGATGGTCCTCTTTTCGCAATTGTACGATACAGAACTTTCAGTTTCTTCTGTCGTTAATATACCACTGACAAGAATTACGATATAAGACAACAATTTATGCATGATATATGGCAAAAATGTTTGGTCCATGATACAGCTTGCAAATAAAATATGAACGATACAGAGAAATATTAACTGAAAATATTAACACTAAGTCTAATTCATCAAGGTTTATGGTTAACTTAAACAAAATTGTGCTATTCTCAATCAAAATTTCTTAATCGTTCTCTCTCTCTCTCTCTCTCTCTCTCTCTCTCATTTCGTCAGAAAATTGGTACATTCAACCAAACATATTTTCCGTGTAGACTTGAATAAAACGATAGGACCCGATGAGTCTCTACGCGAATTCTATCATACTCTAACAATTAAATATTCTCCTAACGATAAAGTACAATAGAGTACGATGAAAAGTGTTCATCGTACTCTATCTTTACGCGATATCATTTCTTTCGGATCCGATGCAGCAAAGCGATAAATTGCGATAGAAAACGATGAGAATCTCTGTAGATCTCATCGCTCTCTATCGCTTTCTCCTTTTCGATGTTTTCCTTGATTAAGGAACTTTTGAACCTTGAACTTTACAATTCAATATGAGCTATCTGTGGTACCTCATAAAATAATCTCGTAATTGTAATCGCGAATATTCAGCGGCCATTTCGGCGCGAGCTTAGACGCGGTGCGGCGGGATGTAGGAGCGGCGAGGTAAGGACATAAACA